TCTCAGACAGAAGAAACCGAAACCATTTTCTTAGAAGGCATTTATTTTTGTCTCGGGCCATTAGTCTCTTCCCAACTGATCCGTTACCACGGGCCTGTCCACGCGGACCACACGTTCCGCCACATTTAGGTATGCCTCGTACTCCACGGTCTCCGGCGTTGTGTCGTAGTGGTAATGGCCACCCCAGTTGCTGGCGGAGAAGGAGTGAAAGTGCTGCAGGCGTAGATCGAGGCCCATGTCCTTGGTCACCAGGGTGCCCACGGCATTCAGCTGGGCGGGCATCTCGTAGAACTTGAGCCACTGCTGGATCTGCTCGTGGGTGTGGATCGGTGTCGTGCTGAAGTCCCGCATCACATGCTGGTGGACACATCCCTTTTTGACCAAAAAGATGCCGCCCAGACCCACCACCTGGTCGCCGTAGTGCTGCTCCAAGGCCTTACGAATGTACTCGACAAAGTTCTCTTGACCTGTGCGCTGCTTGGCGCGGATTTTTAAAACCTCTCCTGGCTTACCTTCGCTCAGGAAGAGATTCAGGATGAGGGCGCATCGTGGCTCTGTGTCGGGTATCCTTTCCAGGACACACTCCTCCTGCTCTCCCCTCACAGTGGCCGTGTAGCTGCCATTGGTCAGTTCATCCTTCTCGCTCACCACAAAGTTGAAGATGCCCTCGCAGTTGGAGTTACGAATTGGCCAGGGTCCTGCCCCAGGTCCCACGGCAAATATCTTGCCAGGACCTTGGCTTCTCCGGGTGATCTCCTTCAGGTTGTAGAGCTTGTCGCGCTGGACAAGGGGGTCGCAAGTAGGGCGGTCCGCCTGCCTCTAGGAGAGTGGGTTTCCCGCCCAGTCCACTCTCCACAAGACCAAACTGGCCTGCCTTGAGGTCTGGACAGGAACCGACACTCACCTCGGCGGTGGCAAAGTTGGCACAAAGAGCCCCCTGTATGACTGGAAAATCAAGAGAAAAGCTTTATCTGTCACAATCAGAGGAAGCATTAAATTATCAAAAATTTCGGGGGCATTCCACTCACCTTTTTGCAGCTCAGAGAGCGGCGGCACATGAAGTGGCTTCTCCTCGAAGAGCAGGCCCTCCGTTTGAAGGTGACTCCGACTCATGTTATCTCTGCAAATGCCACGATATGGACTCAGGGACTTGCCTAGCTGGAGGCACAGTTGCGACTGACCAGCAGACCATCGCCTGGCCAGAATTTGAACAATTTGAGTGGCCGTCATTCCGGGTGACGGGTGATAGGGCTGCGGTCATATACAGGGCGTCCTCCCCAACTGATATAGAATTTTGAGGTTTTTTGGATTATTTTTAGTTTTTATTTTTATTATTATTCACTATTATTTACGGGGGGTTAAGACAATGGAAAACTAGATACGAATGGGGATGCGGAGATAAGATCTAGTCACGGCCCACCTTGTGCGTGGCCACGGGCTTGTCCACACGCACCACCCGCTCGGCCACATTCAGGTACGCCTCGTACTCGACGATCTCCGGCGTGGTGTCGTAGTGGTAGTGGCCACCCCAGTTGCTGAAGGAGAAGGAGTGGAAGTGCTGCAGGCGGAGGTCCAGGTCGTGCTCCTTGGTCACCAGAGTGCCCACGGCATTCAGCTGGGCGGGCATCTCGTAGAACTTGAGCCACTCGTTCACCTCCTCATCCGTGTTGATTGGCGTCTTGCTAAAGTCCCGCATCACGTGCTGGTGGGCAGCGCCCTTCTTGATCACAAAGATACCGCCCAGACCCACCACCTTGTCGCCGTAGTGCTCCTCCAGCCCCTTGCGGATGCACTCGATGAAGTTCTGCTCGCCGGTGCGCTGCTTGGCACTGATCTTGAGCACATCTCCGGGCTTGCCCTGGCTGAGGAAGAGGTTCAGCAGCAGGGCGCAGCGAGGCTCGGTGTGGGGAATCTTCTCCAGCACGCACTCCTCGTGGGCTCCGCGAACGGTGGCCGTGTAGCTGCCGTTGTTCAGCTCATCCTTCTCGCTTACCGACAGATTGAAGATGCCCTCGCAGTTGGAGCGGCGAATGGGCCAGGGACCGGCTCCGGCACCCACGGCAAAGATCTTGCCGGGACCCTGGATCTTGCGCGTGATCTCCTTGATGTTGTACAGCTTGTCGCGCTGGACGAGGGGCAGCAGGAAGGGTGGTCCGCCAGCTTCCAGCAGAGTGGGTTTGCCGCCCAATCCGCTCTCCACGAGACCAAAGCGGGCAGCCTTCAGATCCGGACAAGGACCCACGCTGACTTCCACCTGGGCGAAGTTGCCATTCAGGGCACCCTGTATCACTGCGGGAGAGGAGAGCAAACTGTTAGTGGAGCTTTATCTCGACCTCCATCTGGACAGTAAAACATATAGGCGTCCGAGTGCCAAAAGCTGCCCCAAAAGCTCTCGGCCAAAATCATATGTTTGTGTTTAGTTCGCGCAATGAAAACAGAAATCAGAAAACACAAATCAACAGAACTGAGCGAAAACCGGCTATGGAAAGTTTGGCTATGGCACAGTTCTGAAGGTCATTCGGCTCCCAGAACACAGAACACGGAACAGAGCACACAGCACAGAGCTCTCAATACAGCACGTATTGTTATCTGGCGGATCTGGGAAATCGGCTTAACGCTGCTCACCGTTCTGCAGCTCCGGCAATGAGGGCACATGCAGGGGCTTCTCCTCGTAGAGCAGTTGCTCGGTGTCTAGCTGCTTCTGGCTCATGTTGTGCTGGTGGTGGGCTTGTGTCCTAGTTTCAGCTCCTTCTACTCCAAATCAGGTTCCTTTCTCTCCCAACGAATCTCCGCTGGAGGCTACCGCTCGCTAGATCGTTGCAAACGCGACTGTCGACGCCAACCAGCTGGGGTCTCGCATTTTTAAAGTTGAGTGCTCGCTCGGCTCCCGGTTTATAATTTGCCCTATAGTTAACATTGCTTGCCATACAGGGTGCCTGGTCGTGCCTTGCCTTGATGTAGATTAGATAAACTCTTGCAGTGTATTTAGTTTAATTAGAGTGAGGTATCTATCTGGGTAGAGTCTTCCCTCGCACGCCTAGTGCGCATGTCTGTCATATTTATGATGCGGTTAATCCAGTACAGTAGCTACTCCGTTTAACAACCGTACTAAACCTACCCTACCAAAAGGTGTTACCCAAAAACTTTCCACTTCACTGTTGTCACTTTCACTGGTCAGTGAAAAACAAGGTTCTCTGTCTCGAAGGTCTTTAGGGCTTAGGCTAAGGAACCCCAAAACTGGCTGCTCCGGTTTACGGCTCACATTTCCATATTCTTTGTCAGCAAGAAAGTTGTTCTGCCGAGTTGCTCTATAATTTATGCCTAATCAAATGGATTTCCTAAACTAATTGATGTCGGGATAGAGAAGAATGGTTATGGTAAACTCAGGTAGTAAAGTCTCTGTGGGGGCACCTTTCACTGTACCCCCTTTTTGGGGAGATAAGCCCAGGCCACTGATAGTGGCTCTGCGTTCGTGTATTGTCATTTAGCGGTCACGTTTGCTACGTCAGTGGTCGGTGGCTGATAAGAAACTGTGCGGTTTCGCTATATAGATAGTTCAGCTTGGGTGTGTCGCGGGTCAAGCCGCAAGTGTTGGGTAGCTAGGGCGCTAATTTGATGTATTGCCGCGCTAATGAGCTGCCGAGCTGGCCTGGATCCATTTAATAGATGCCCGCTATCGGGGATGGTATTGGGAGACATGCAATGACAGCCTCCACGCCTCGGCGAAAGAGTCATGCAATCATTCTGTCCAGGATCGAAGGAAAAGACTGCTATCATGTCCAAACTGGTCCGAGCAATCCATCATTTTGCCAATGCATGGATAGTTTATCATAATTACTAAGTGAACCGAGTGAGGAGCTCGCTCTGTTCTGTTCTGTTCTGTTCTGGCCATCTACAGGCATTGGTTCTGGCCGACCGACCTCCTTAGCGGCCTGCAGAACTCGTTGCTGACCCAATTCCGCAGGCCGCCACTTCACTTTTTTCGCAGCTCGGCCTGAAACTGGTTAGGAGAATTGTGTCAGAGCTAATACTTGCATCCAAACTGCAGACATCCGACTAACATATGTTGTGTTCTTCTTGTTGTCGTATTGTCCATGTCACATTAGGCAATGACTGACAGGCGCCGATCCGCGACGTCGTCGTAATGGGCAACCGCATCGCATCCACCCGAGGCGACATCTGCGGCGGAGTGGAGGAGGGAGCCGCCGGTGAGGGCACCTCCAGGTTCAACACGCGCCGCCGCTACCAGCAGCACAAGCGGGAGTATTGCCTGCAGAGCGAGTATCGCTCCAAGACGCTCCCTGCCCGCCATCCGCATCACGACCAGAGCCAGAGCCATAACCACGACCAGGGCAAGGAGCGGCTTGGCTCCAGCAGCTGCCTAGGGGCCGGACCCTAATGGCACGCCTCCACACAACGGGGAGACCTCGAGGGTGCTGTTTCTGCTCTACTTGATCAATCGCACTTGGAACGTCGTCATGGACACGATGGACACACGCACCAAGAGGTAAGAATCCATTCTCAGGCCGCAACACATTCTTAAATTATCATAATGAGAAATAAATACATATTTTACATTGTAATCGACGCTACTAATTATCTTCTAGTCGTTCTCCACGCGGAGCTTCCCCAGAAGGAGGAGACCGCGGACATTGAGCTGCAAGAGCGGCCACCGGATGAAGAGTGCTCTATTGGCATCACCGATCTGGATGCCTCCTCTATTTGCTCCCAGTATTCCTGCTGCAGCTGCAGTTACTGCGACGTCGAGACAGTGGGCACACAGACAAATGTATACAGCTCCATTGGCGACGATTATTCCCTGGACTCCATGTATGAAGTGGGCAAATCGGTGGCAGACAGGTAAGCCAAGCAAGTTGATTTTATAATAAGGTAAGGGGGATATAGATGCCAGCTCTTGTCAGCTTATGCTTGGCCAAGAAATTAAAGCCTACTTTCTGGCTTTCTTAAGATAACAAACAGTAAGCTATGAAAAGCGTTGCTTCATTTTATGCTGATATTTTATTTTTAGAACGAGTCAGGGTAGGCAACTGCTTAGAAGCAGCTGTCGATGGAGGGCAGGGAGCCGCTGCAGTAATGCCAGGTGGACCAGGCAGACCATCCCTGCTGGCTGAGCACCTTCTGGGCACAACGGACGGAGTTGGTGATGTCGTCGGTCAACAGAGCATTGCAGCTGAGACCACACTCGTTGTAGGAGAAGCGTCCAGAGGGAGGAGCACACCAGTAGTAGTCGTTGATCTGGAAGATGCCGTAGTCGTTCGAGCCGTTGTAGTTGGTGGGTCCAACCACGTGGGTGCGGTAGGAGCTCTCGTGCTCAGCAATGCAAGTCCAGCGAGCCAGCTGGTCACGGGGAACGCCCAAGTTGGACATCTCGCGGGCCAGGGAGCAACGGTCCATGGTGCGACCGAAAGCGGGGGCGGCCAGAGCCAGAGCAACCAGAACGATGAAAGCCTTCATGATTTCAAGTGATTGAAACTAATGCCCAAACAGTAAATGTCTCCGGGTTTTATATAAAATGTTCCGCTGATAAAGGAGTTATCGTTCGCACGCGTACTGATACGAACTCCATTCCTGCGCATTTGCAGCGCAGAGATCGCCATCTTTTCATTAACCTGATAGACCACGAAAGGAAATTTTTCCTGCACTTTGTAGTAAACATTGCCTTATCAGTAAACTGCCAAATACAAGAGATTAAAAGACTGAACGAAAAAAAATGGCTGAATATATCAATGAGAATACTACAAGAATGGCCAAACATTGATAAAGTCCAATTAAATAACAAAGTGTCAGCGATCCATCAATTTGAATCGAATTTTTCCATCGAATGACACGGAAATTTAATTCGGGGACTTTTTTATGGATAATTCCCAAGGGTTATCTGTGAGATTCGATGTCTGAAATCTCCTATAAAAGGAAGAATTTTTTGTGTGTTCTACATTAGTTTCAATCACTTGAAATCATGAAGGCTTTCATCGTTCTGGTTGCTCTGGCTCTTGCCGCTCCTGCTCTTGGTCGCACCATGGACCGTTGCTCCTTGGCTCGCGAGATGTCTGATCTGGGCGTTCCTCGTGATCAGCTGGCCCGCTGGACTTGCATTGCTGAGCACGAGAGCTCCTACCGCACCGGAGTTGTGGGTCCTGAGAACTACAATGGCTCCAACGACTACGGCATCTTCCAGATCAACGACTACTACTGGTGTGCTCCTCCCTCTGGACGCTTCTCCTACAACGAGTGTGGCCTGAGCTGCAATGCTCTGTTGACCGACGACATCACCCACTCCGTCCGTTGCGCCCAGAAGGTGCTCAGCCAGCAGGGATGGTCTGCCTGGTCCACCTGGCACTACTGCAGCGGCTCCCTGCCCTCCATCGACAGCTGCTTCTAAGCCGTAGTTTTGATTTGCCAGTAAAAACGCTTTGATTTCCTATATAGTTGGCTTATTTCTGGTGGGGATGGGCTCCGATTTCTCATTCCTCTATCTAATCACAGCTCAGGGATTTGGAGTTGCCCTCCAGCGCTTGACAGTCTTCATCGTCAAGTTAGAGGCAAGCAGTGGCTGCTCTAATGCTTGGAAGCGGGGTCTTATACGAAAGCAGGGGGACTGGTCTTATACTAGAGCGGGAGAGCGACTCTTCGGCTCGTCTTCGGGCTGGTAGCTAGTCTTCGGGCTTGAAGCTCGGCTTGGGTTCAGGCCAAGTTGGTGGCTTGGATCAGTCGGTGCGTGACTTTTCTTCGAGGCGGACGTGTCGAGATTGTGTTGGAAGCGGAGACGAAGCACTGTTTAGGTTACCAATTAAGTCTAAGTCGATGGCTCAGCTAGATAGGCTCGAGGTCTAGCCAAGTTCAATCGATGATCGACAGCCAGGCCTTAAGTGCAAAGCCAAGTCCTGTGAACCCGAAAACTACTCCCTCGGTCTCTCTTCCCCTGGACTGTTACGTGTCACTGGCGATTACGCGATATGCATTATCCTATTGTGTATTCTCGGGTGAAACGAGTTTGATTGGATAGAAAAGTGCGACTACTCGATTCTCGGCTTTCGGTTCTCGAGTCTCCAGTCTCGATTCTCGCTCTCCGGCTAACAGCATCGCGAGTGGAGTGCGCGCGCAGATTGCATTCTGCTGGTAACGGTAAAACGAGTACAACTCGGGGACTGGACCCGGCTAGAACTGGCCCCAACTGGCCTATTGCAGCATCCACGGACCGACCGAGCATCCATCCATCCGCAATAAAAATAACACAGACCGAGACCGAGGCAGAGGCAGAGGCACAGCGGTTCTGGCTTCTTGCTAATCTTCTCAATTTGTGCCCCTTGTCCGATGACGACGCAAAGTGCAGCATGAAAGTCAGCTCCAAGTAGGAGGAGCAGTGGTGTGTGTGTTGTGTGTATCGGAGTCGGGAATTTGAGAACGTTCTGTGGCCCAATTCGGAATCGTGTCAATATACTCCCAGAGCACAGCGCCCGCCGAACCTGATCCCAAATTGGATTTCGGACGACGACCAGCAACCAGGAGAGGAGAGGAGGCCTAGGTAAGCGCAAGTGGAGGAGATGAACTAGTTCAGTCAAGTCCCAACTAAGTCAGAGGGTCAGTCTTCCAAACGACTTGGTCAAGATCGTATCCGATGCGTGCCCGGGTTCAGGCCATATGCTAATGGGCACCGACTTTCTTTTGGAATCTAGATATGTAAATCTCGCTCGCTGGCTCGCTGGGCCGTGTGGGCAGCTCTGACATTGAACTGTGACGCCCACGCAGATCAGAAAAGAAACTCTCGGCAGTTCCGAGAAGCAGAACCCAGCACACAAAAAAGAGCCATAAAAAGTCGTTAAGACTACTGCGTGTGCGTTATAAAAGTATGAAAACAAATTACATTTAACTGTACTCATGGGGAGATTGAAGTGAAAATTGAATTGGCAGCGGCACGAGGACTTTGGCGTCTTCGGCGAAGCCCCAATCCGCACCAACAATGCCACTTTGTCCAGAAAGCCAAACACAAAGAGGAAAGCCCAACAAAGGAAGGCAGGGAAATAGTGGAGGGGGGAAAAACGAAGAGGAGATTGTAAATAAATAAATAACACTCGCAGAGGCAGACAGAAACCACACATTCCGAGTAAAAAGCGAGTGTATGCCGGCCAAACTACAGAAAAATCTGTTCCGGTCTGATTTAACAATAGTTAAACAGCTTATGATGAGGAGTAGGAGGTGGAGGAGGAGGTGGCCCAGCTAACTTTCGGCACTACCTGAAATAGAAATTTCTTTCTTCTTCACCAAAATTTGCCACTTTGTGGTCTCAGCTTAGGCTTTTATTCTTCTTCTGAACCTTAAAGTAGGGGACTAGGCTTCCCTTTGGGAAACTGCATTAAATGAACCACATTAGCCCGGCCATCAGCAGATGTTGGACACCTTGACAGGCCCTGACAAATGAAGCAATTGGTAGAGATTGGGTAACCGCACTTGGGCAACAAAGAGCAAGCGGGCTTTGTGCACTGGATTCCGAATGGAGTGGGCCATGAGCCGCGGGCTTTGTTCGATCGGAACCCAGACTAATTGGAGCCAATGGGCCGCCACCAAGGCGAGAGACAGGCTGGCAGGCAGGCCACAATAGAGATCAGAGGCCAATTGGCCAGACAAACAGTCACCCGGCACACAAGGGCTGCTCTGCATCAATTCAGGGCAGGTGGACTTGGGACCGGCCAGCTGCGAGGGGATTCACCAGAGAGTTTCCGCAATATACATACTTCATTCACATAATTATCGGAATGCTCCGCCAATCGAATTATCAATGGCCCTATCAATATGGTCCGATTTCCCGGCGAATCTTTTTTTTGCGACACGTCCAGATTAGCGGGCCCATCAAATCAAAATAATAGTACTCGAGATAACCGCCCTCCCTAGCTAGATAATTTTCCGGCTATAAAAGCTCCCCTCCTTGCGGGTCTCGACATCAGTTTTCGTCACAATGAAGGCCTTCATCGTTCTGGTTGCCCTGGCTCTGGCCGCCCCTGCTTTCGGTCGCACCATGGACCGCTGTTCCCTGGCTAGGGAGATGTCCAACCTGGGCGTTCCTCGTGACCAGCTGGCCCGCTGGACCTGCATTGCTGAGCACGAGCTCCTACCGCACCGGAGTTGTTGGTCCCACCAACTACAATGGCTCCAACGACTACGGCATCTTCCAGATCAATGACTACTACTGGTGCGCTCCTCCCTCTGGACGCTTCTCCTACAACGAGTGTGGTCTCAGCTGCAATGCTCTGTTGACCGACGACATCACCAACTCCGTGCGTTGCGCCCAGAAGGTGCTCAGCCAGCAGGGATGGTCTGCCTGGTCCACCTGGCACTACTGCAGCGGCTCTCTGCCCTCCATCGACAGCTGCTTTTAATCTGATTTCGACCCCGAATAAAATTATTTCATAAAATCTTATAAATGCCTGGTTATTCCTACAATTACATTTAATTCTCTGAAACAATTTATAAGTTTAAATCCTTTTGTTTTGGCCAGCTTTCTCCAACTTTTGATGCCCCAAGGCAACTACTTTTCGTCTCAATTAATAGTCTGCTATCGTGAGGCTCAATTCCGAGGGGCCCTAGGCTCAGAGCAATCAGCTCGGTGGCAAAAATGCGTATAATCGATATGACATTATTGTCTTCGGTTCTCTCTTGGCAAAGAGACGGAAGTTCGCATTATTACCAAGTTAAATTTAGAGTCATTGACGGGTTCTGCGCTCAAGAGCTACCAGTCCGACTGGTTCGAACCTCATGTCGAAGCCGATTGGAATTATAATGAATTTGTCTGCGTTTGCATATTATTTGGCTTTGACCCGCTGTCATTTTTTAGCTGTCAGTCAGGCGAAGCATTAAGTTTACTTTCTATTGGGGGAAAACTGGCCGAAACTGATCGAATATATTTTATGTTTCTCCCGCAAAAATTTCTAACCTCGCACATCTATTTATGGCTTTATCACTGCGATAAGCAAATGCAAATTAGGTGTGCATATTCTATTCATCAGATTAGAAAGTATTTGGGAAATAAATCAATAAATTACCATAAAAGTGAAAACTAATTAGAACAGCTTGTTTCGAAATTTAAATCTTAAAGTGGAAATATTAGAGAAACATTTTTGAATTAGTAAGCCAAAAAGCATTAAATTAAATGACTTCTCCCATGCTTTGCAAGCTTCTTACTGAAATAATAATACCCAGCATAAGGGTAAAAATAAATGGATTCAAATGACTTCACATTACTGGGTTAAAAATCAAACAATGACTCATTACCCAAAGTAGAAAGAAATAAATCCCACACAGAATTCTACTCTGAATGTCTGTTTATGCAATCATTTTTTATTCGCGGTCAAGATCAGCTTAGAAGCAGCTGTCGATGGAGGGCAGGGAGCCACTGCAGTATTTCCAGGTGGACCAGGCAGACCATCCCTGCTGGCTGAGCACCTTCTGGGCGCAACGCACGGAGTTGGTGATGTCGTCGGTCAACAGGGCATTGCAGCTCAGGCCACACTCGTTGTAGGAGAAGCGGCCAGAGGGGGAGCGCACCAGTAGTAGTCGTTGATCTGGAAGATGCCGTAGTCGTTCGAGCCGTTGTAGTTGGTGGGTCCAACCACGTGGGTGCGGTAGGAGCTCTCGTGCTCAGCAATGCAGGTCCAGCGGGCCAGCTGGTCACGAGGAACGCCCAGGTTG